TCTGTGTCTATCTCTCTCTTAAAATGATATAATTTTATGTCATTTAAAATGACAAATACTTTTCAGGTTTTTGACCCTTTTGCCCCTAATTAAATAATTAATAACCAATTTTCCCCTCCCCCAGAACTATCCACCATCCTGCCCCCATTTAGTCGATTAAGTTGCACTTTTAATCGACTAAATGAGCTAAACTCAGAAATTATGAAACGCGAATTTTAGTCGACTAAAAACTCACCTTAATCGACTAAATTGTTTGCACTTTTAGTCGACTAAGCACATTATTTAGTCGACTAAATATCGCGAAAACCCTATATCCAGACCTCTCTTGGCCTCATTTTCAAAATATTCGAAACCAAAACTCCTCTCTTGGTCTTTTTCTCTTGTTTGTCAGCTGGGAACCTTTCAATCACCCTTCCATTTCATCCCACCTCCTCTAAGACATAGTAATTATGAAATCATTGTCATTTTCCTTTATTTCTCAATTGTTTCCCCCAAATCCGAACCCTAACCCCTAAAATCTGATTCCTACCCCCAAAATTCGTGTGAAAGATGAGCTCAAGTCCAAACATGTATGTTACCATGATTTACTATGATGGAAAGCATTATGAAGGCCCCAACGGTGTTCAATTTGAAGGAAAAATGAAAATGTTGAAAATCAAACAGGGCACTACGTACAATGAGCTGAAGGGGAGGATTAACCAAAAATTGGGGCTACACGGCAGCCATGGCGTTCAACGGATGATCGCCAGGGTAGAGTCTACAGTTGGTAAGGATGCTATATTCTACATTGGTAATGATATATGTGACGATGAAGATGTGGATTGTGTCATAGATGCAATTGTGGACCGAAAATTTCAAAACTTTATTGAGATATATGTTGAAATAGACTGTGGTCAATCTTCATCTGCACCTGTGCATGGAAGAAGTCAAAGTCAAGAAGACAGAGTGGTCGGTTTATCTGGACCTGCACCTGTCTTAAGTCAGATACCAATGAGGGAAGTAGACGAGGATGAGGATGGGCATGACGAGGATATGGACAGTGAAGACGATGGTGAACGCGAGAGTGTTATTCCGCTGGGTGACACCTCAGATACGGACGTAGAGGGGAATTTTGACGCTGATACTAGTTCAGGAAACTTGAGTTCCCAGGTTATGCCACCGCTCCGTGTTGACCCTGTTAGCAGTGGTAAGATTGTAATATAAAGTTTTAATTTTGCATATATATATATATTTGTGTTTTCTTTCGTACTGACGGATAAGTTTAAATTTGGACGTAGGGTCTGAGATTGAGCCATTTTGGAACGACAGCCCACACTATTCGTTCATTAATTGAGCTCACCCTAATGATGAGACAGAGATATTGTATGGAGACGATGACATCCACGGTGGCTGACATTTAGGAGATCCATTATATTTGTACCAGGAGTTTCGAACTAAATCTGAAATGCAACATGCTGTCAAATTATATTGTATGAAGTCTCATCGTATGCTGTGGTGGCAAAAAGTGATGACCATAGATTTATGATGAAGTGTCGACACCATAATGATGGTTTTCCCTGGTACGTGCGGGCTATGTTGCCCAAGAATGGAAATAGTTGGGTTGTTAGTAAGTGGGGTAAAAAACACACCTGCCTAAACCAAGGCCTTACTCGGGACCATAGACAGCTGGATTTTGATGTAATCTGTGCAGCCATTATAAGTATGTATTACATTCATTTTTGTTTATGGTTTAATTTTTCGGTATATTTATTGATTATGTTGACTTCGAATTTTGTATAGGTATGTTAAAAGAAGATCCATCCACGAAACCTCGTCATCCTCATCTGACACATCAGCCCCCTGCCCTGCAACATCCTCAATCTGTTGTCCTCGTCCAAGCTCTAGACGAGCAAGCCTATCTTCAACACCCTTGAACCGTCCCTGTATATGTCTAAATCTTTCATTTCCCTTCTGCACGTGACTCTTCCTCCATTTTTTGTGTTTCAGCGCCATTTTTCCTATTTTCTTCAGTGTGGCGTTTATGCCCTTCATGACATCACGTAATGAAAACCCACCCTCAGGCTCAGCTATCTCCTGCTGGTCACCCTCATCATCATCCTCCACCTCGGGCTCAATCATGTCTACAACTGGAGCAATGTACACGTATATAATGACTTGGGGAACACACTTTCAGGTACAAAATAGTATTGTACAGGTTATAAACCATGAATGTACATGTACTGCATAAATGCTCCAAGTTAGGGTATCCGAAACTTGTGTTCTTATTTTAACTCTGTTAAGGTCACCTGTTCTGAATTTCATTGGACATTCTAGACACGTTGGACTGTGATTATACACAAATTGAAAACATGAAGGTAAAAGATATTTGTTCCTTCATTTGGTAAACAAGAAAACAGCAATAATTACGTAAACGGTTCACAACATGATGAGAACATCAAATAGTTCATTTCATAACCATAATATTACATAAGCTACAAATGTCAAATAGGAAGACCGAAGTCAATTACATAACAACATACACTAGAAACGTAAAATAGAAACATAAACCCTAAATCTAATCCTCATCCTCCTCGGACGCCGTCTCCTCGTCATCCTCATCTGACACATCAGCCCCCTGCCCTGCAACATCCTCAATCTGCTGTCCTCGTCCAAGCTCTAGACGAGCAAGCCTATCTTCAACACCCTTGAACCGTCCCTGTATATGTCTAAATCTTTCATTTCCCTTCTGCACGTGACTCTTCCTCCATTTTTTGTGTTTCAGCGCCATTTTTCCTATTTTCTTCAGCGTGGCGTTTATGCCCTTCATGACATCACGTAATGAAAACCCACCCTCAGGCTCAGCTATCTCCTGCTGGTCACCCTCATCATCATCGTCATCATCATCCTCCACCTCGGGCTCAACCATGTCTACAACTGGAGCAACATCAGGAACCTCAACATCAGCCGCACCTGTGAACTGCCACACTCCTGTTTTGGGGTTCTTTGTCATCTTGCATTGCTCCAGTAGACGTTTTCCAAACTTATGATTATACCCTGTGGTCTTCTTCAAGGTCACATTACCCATGGGAACATCAAAATGCTCCAATATCCTCTGAACAAGACAAGCAAATGGAAGTGCACCCTTGTGTTTGGCCTTATACATCATCCAACACACGTAGTGCCTCCAGTTCACCGAAGTACCATGTCGGATAGCCCACATGATGGGAATGTCATGCTCCAACACCCTGGAATGATTGAATGCTCGCGGAAACAAAATGTGGGTGATGACATAGTGTAGTATGCGGGACTCCTCAATAAGCAACCCCACCGTATAGGCAATGTGTTGCCCACGGACTCTCCTCTGCTCCTGCACGGCATCACCGCGTGTATATCCTGGAAGTATGGTCCCGCTGTCTGCGTCATATTCCACAGTCTGCGCAGAATCAAAGTCATACCCCAGTAACTCCAACCATACCGGAGCCGTCATGATGATGTCCACCCCGCAGACCCTAGACCTCAGCTCACCCTGATGGCAGCTGAGATTATGGTAGAAGGCCCGTACATGCAGCTCAGAATATGAACACGACAGTTCAGCTAAGGTCCTAAGATGTGATTCCTCCAACCACCTCACAATGTTAAAACCTTCTTGTTCAAAAAAGGCTGTATCAAGTGATTTGGCCCCACAAATCGGTCGGTTAACAAAGTCACGGACAAAAGATTCATGAACCACCGGGTCATTCTCGAACAAGTATCCGAATGGGAGGTCCACAGCAGCGGGGTCTTCCTCTTGTGGCCTTGACGAAGACGGACGGTCTTGTCGTAGCTTCTGTCGTCTCTCATTTCCAGTGCTAGACGATCTTCTACGGCCAGGCATGAGAACAACTGTACCTACAATGCAAGTGGAAACAAAAATCAATGAACAATAACAATATCAAAAAATTTAAAATTCAATATAAAAAACAAAACCTAATCCTAAAATAAAACAGAAATCAGAAACCCAATCCCTAACCCTAAAACAGAAACAGAAACCCTAACCCTCAACCCTCAACCCTAACCCTAACCCTTACCCTAAACCCTAAAACAGAACACAAAAACCCATTCCTAACCCTAAACACTACAACCCAAACAAAACAGCAACGTAAACCCTAACCCTAATATAACCCTAAGCCTAAGGCACCACATCAACCCTAACCCTCACCCTCACAACAAACTTAGCACCCTACCCCTAACCTAAATCCACAAAACCGCAAACAGAAATCAAATGCATGAAGAAAACCAAAAAAAAAAACTAAACTTAAAACCAAATGCAAGTCAGAATACGTTACCTAAATGTCGATTTCGCAAGTGTGAACCAAGGAAGCTTCAATCGCACCTTCAGGGGTTGAGATTCGGACTTGGTTGGAGAGAGGGGACGGAATGCAGCGATTTAGTCGATTAGGGTTTGAAAATAACTCCCTTTGCGAAATGGGGGGTTTTTAAAAAACCTGATCTGCGACATTTAGTCGACTAAATAATGTTCTTAGTCGACTAAAAATGCAAACAATTTAGTCGATTAAGGTGAGTTTTTAGTCGACTAAAATTCGCGTTTCATAATTTCTGAGTTTAGCCCATTTAGTCGATTAAAAGTGCAACTTAATCGACTAAATGGGGGCAGGATGGTGGATAGTTCTGGGGGAGGGGCAAATTGGTTATTAATTATTTAATTAGGGGCAAAAGGGTCAAAAACCCAATACTTTTCCCATAAAATATATGAAAGAAAGAAGAGAAAATAGAGGAGAAAATAAATAAATAAATGAATTCTGTCACTCAATATATAAATATAAAAAAAATAAAAAAATAAATTTATATCATGTTGTATGATATAAAACGCGTTGTATGATATCTACAATTTCTCTATTTAAGAACTATTATATCTAACATTGTGTTCTACAAAACGCGGTTTTGTTAATGCATTCTTGCAACTGCTTGCAACTTAGAGGTACTAGTAAACTCTCATTTTCTCGTTTCCTTTTATTTTTTTATTTTTTTCTCTAGCTGTTTGTTTCCTGAGCGGAATTTCAATTTTTTTTTTCTTTCTTTTTAGTTTTCGTTTTTTGGACCCTGGCTAGGGTAGACTCCGATGCTCTCGACTTGATTATTATTATCAGTCAAAATTTTCAAAATAGCGTTGAAGGTTTTGTTTGTCAGGGATTCATTTTCCTTTGCCTTTTTTCTCAAAGTTTCCTGACAGAGGACTTGATCAGCAACTAACACTGTCAATCCTTGGCGAATTATGTACTGTTTCGATGATGAAGTGTTATTATTTTGGTTTTTTTAATTTTCTATTTGGCTATGAAGTTCATAAGAATCATGGTTTTGGATTTGTCGTCATGTATTGCAAATGGAAATGGCGTTGTTCGATGTCCGCAATTCTTACTGTATATGGCAATTGCTTTGTGTTTATTTGTGTTAGTATTTGTTGCCCTGTTAAATTTAGTGATATGTAAGTGTACTTGGGTTTGTATAATCACCTAGGTTTAGGGTTTGACTGTCAAATACCTTTCAATTGCTAATATCATGAGATCTGTTAATTTGTAAGATTTTCAACTGCGTTTCGCATACTTAGAAACATGTGCTATAATGCTGTCTTGGATTTTCACTTTAATAATCTATAGTTGCAGAATATTATGAATTGATGATAATCTTGAGTTTCTGGTTCATATGGATTCAGTATAGACTTATGCTCATGAAAGTGTTCAATTGTCCAAAGGAGCATCTTCCTTTACTTATTATGGATGCTGGTGAAAAACGTTAGTAATCATTGGAAGTGGAAACAAGGATACAGTGTTACTTACCTGTAGTATGGGCATTGAATAGATGTCTCTTGGCTGGTTGGCCCCATTTCCTTTGTGTGTCGGAGTTCAGTTTCAGTCTTTGCACAAAGCAATTTGACATTCTAATTTTATTGTATTACTATTATTTTGCAGATCTTAACTAATGACACATCTTTGTAATCTTCTTCTTATATATGTTGTAATCAATCAACTTTGTATGGTATTTCTTGATATACACTTAAACGTTTGTCTGTAATTAAGTATGAATATTAGTTGAGAAGACAAGGTTTTTGTTTACATTATTTTTTGGGGTGTGTTTTCCCTTTACTTCATCAAATTCTTAGTTCACATTTTCTCTTCCAATTTATTATATGTTTCTATTTGCTTTGGCATTCTTTAACTTGTCTGGGATGGTTTTAGCACTTAGATTTTTCACACTGTTCTCTATTACTCCTTTGATTTTTACTTTAATTGTTTGTTTTCTTGAAGCTTAAGCACTTACTGCATAAACCTCGTATGCTTTTTCCAGTTATCAAGCCACTTGAGGATTGCCTTGCATACTCTTGGTGTTTGAAGAGCTCATCCATCTTCCAAAATGAAGTAATGCATGCAAAAATCTTCTTTTTATTAGTTTGCTTAAATAATTTGGGAAAAGAAAATTCTAACTCTTATTGAAAGTTGAATGGTCCAGCTTATTGTATATTGTTATTGTAGTGAGATAAACTGAGGAATCTGTTCCTCTAGGATAGTTTGTTTGCCCTAGTCCTAGATACCACAATGAAAGTTTTAAAAGGATAATTGTAGCTTCCCACAAGTTGAAAATTTTTCATGCTTTATTGGTGAATATTGACTCCTGGAAACAAATAGTCTATTTTTCAAAATGTGCATATTACGAAAACAAAGTCATAGACTCAAAGTTCCTATGTTTTGGGACTTTGTAGTTTAATTTTGTCTGATACAAAAAGAAGGCTATATATATATTTGAGAGAACAAATCATAAATGAAAAGCAAGAAAGGTAGATTATATTAGGTTGTTTCATGTTTTGTGGGGATTTTCCTTTTCTTAGGCAGCCAATCCTAGGCAGATAGTCTCTAGGCTCTTGATTTCCCAAGGCCATAATATTCCTGAAGTTGGAGGACACTTCAACACTTCTGTTTAATAGTTATATAGACTAAGTAAAGTTATTAAGAGGTTGTATTACAGTTCAAAAATCTTTCCTGGTTTTGAATTTTACAGATAGAAAGTGAAAGGGTGAGGATACAAATAATCTTTTGTTGATTATGAAGCTTTGACTAATATGCTGTTAGAGAGATTAAGTGTTAATCAGGGCTACTCCCCAGGTTTTACTGTTGGTAAGAAGCCACTTTGTTATCAGGAGTATGCAGCAGGGTTATTATCAGTGGTCCTGTGATGTCCATTGGGATTTTGGTGTAAATTATTTTCAAATATAGAAGGGAACAGGTGCTCTTTGGAGAACAGTGTCTCACATTTAGGATGATTAATGATCATGCTAATTTGAGGTCTGGTAGAATTGTGGTATAAAGAGACGACCAAAAAGGATCTGTGTGGATCTTAACCAAATTGTTGAATTATTTAGTCATTGTAGATGCAACTGTTCAAATGGAAATCATTGGTCATACGGAGAGACTTCCTTTTTTTCTTCTGTAAATGATAATTTGATGTTGGAGGTAAAAGTACGAAAGGCCAGGGGAAGGTTCCCATTAATAACATCCATAGAAAGTAAGAAAGGAAATGTGAACAGTACACATCAAGACAATACATCCTTACAAATTCCAATATCTTTTGAGTGTCACTCAGAGGAATTTGCATAGGAAACACATTAGCAGGAGCAGAGATCAACATCAACATCATCTTTATCCCAAATTAATTGGGGTCGGTGGTAGATGAACCCACATGAAAGCTACAAAATGGTTGTAAAAAAAAAAAAGAAGTAATGATATATATGTATATATATATATATATATATATATATATATATATATATAAATAAAAGTAAAAAAAAGAGAAAAGAAGAAGTGGGGGAAATGAAGGGGAAAAGGAATAAAAAGAGACCATCTGGAACATAGGAATAACAACGGGTTTAACCTTCCACCATACTTATAGCTTTTCTTCATTCTGTTCTAAGACATACCGTCCGCCAATCTATATCCCATTCCATTAAATCTTGTTTTACTACCTTCCCCCAAGTAAGTTTCGGCCTATCTCTGCCTCTTTTTGTATTGAGCTCTTAGTAACAAACTTCTGTTCTCACAGGAGCATCCAGGGGCCTTCTCATCACGTGCCCAAACCACCTTAATCTATGTTCTCTCATCTTCTCGGCTACCGGTACTACTCTTACCTTTCGTCGAATATCTTCATTTCTTATCTTATCCATCCCTGTATAACCACACATCCACCTTAACATCCTCATCTCTGCTACTCTCATCTTATGCTCATGTTGCCTATGTGCTGGCCAGCATTCCGCTCCATATAGCATTGCTGGTCTTACTGCTGTTTAATAGAATTTTCCTTTTAACTTAAGGGGGATTTTGCGATCACACAAAAATCCAGATGCACTACGCCATTTCATCCACCCTGCTCTGATTCTATGATTTACATCCTCATCAATCTCTCCACCTTTTTGCAAAATAGAGCCCAGGTATTTAAAAGCATCTTTTTTGGGTACCTCTTGACCACTTAGATGCACGGGATCTTGGTCCCCATCTCGTACCAGAGAAAACTCACACTTCAGATACTCAGTCTTGCTCCGACTTAATGTGAATCCTTTTGATTCCAATGTGCTTTTCCACAATTCAAGTTTTCTATTAACACCATCCTTGCTCTCATCAATAAGCACAATATCGTCTGCAAAAAGCATACATCATGGCACTTCCTCTTGAATATCTTTTGTTAGTTCATCCATAACTAAGGCAAAGAGATAAGGACTTAGAGTCGACCCTTGGTGTACACCTACCGTGATAGGGAAATAACTTGATGTTCCGTTACAAACTTTCACACATGTAGTAGCCCCATCATACATATCCTTGATTGTCTTTACATACTTTGATGGAACATTTTTCTTCTCCAGAACCCACCATAAAACTTTCCTTGGAACCTTATCGTATGCTTTCTCAATGTCTATGAACACCATATGTAAGTCCTTCTTCTTTTCTCGATATCTTTCCATTAGTTGTCGCATCAAGAAAATGGCTTCCATGGTACATCTTCCTGGCATAAATCCAAATTGATTTATAGAAACCTTGGTATCTCTCCTCCAGCGGTGTTCAATAACCCTCTCCCACAACTTCATAGTATGGCTCATTAGCTTAATGCCTCTATAGTTTGAACAATTCTGTATATCTCCCTTGTTTTTGTAGATAGGCACAATCATACTTTTCCTCCATGCATCAGGCATCTTATTTGTCTGGAGAATCTTATTGAAAAGATTGGTCAACCATTTTATTGCCACATCCCCCAGGCCTCTCCACACTTCAATGGGGACACCATCAGGTCCCAAGGCTTTATTAGTCTTCATCCTCTTTAAAGCCTCCTTAACTTCATGTGTATTAATTCTGCGCACAAATCTTCTATTCATATCATCATAAGCGTTCTCCAAGTCCACCTCGCTTGTATCTCCATCTCCATTAAACAGCTTATTGAAGTAGTTCAACCATCTTTCATTTTCATCTCTATCTCTCACCAAAAGTTTTTGATTTTCATCCTTGATGCATCTAACTTGCGTGAGGTCTTTACTTTTGTTATGCCTTATTTTTGCATAGGAAACACATTAGCAGGAGCAGAGATGAAAAAAAAAACCCTGTAATCTTTCTTAAGTAATATTAGATTTTTTGCCAACCTTGTGCACCATACTATTGCAAGACATCTTCTAGACCTCACCTTCATTTTCTTTTCCCTTCTTCAAGCATTTCTGAATTGAATCAGTGCAACATTCTGTGAGGTTGGGGCTAAACTCTTTCAATGGCCCAATGTTATTTCTATATAATGCAAGATAACCAACTACAGAATCTAATGGTATTAGTTCTATAACTTCTATGTCACATACATAAACACTTGCAAAAACAAAATCTGATGCTAAATGACATTTTTGTACTTGCCACAGATCCTTTATGTTTCATTTCATCTTCTTGAGTTTAACTGTTTAAGCATCAATACTGTGAGAGCACTTGGTTCTCATATTGGATTTATAATAGGACAACTGCTTTTTGGTGGAGACTGGACAGTGGATTAACAGGAAAGGTTTAGGGAAGAACCTAATGCATTTAAAGTTCAAATCCTGATTCAAATCTCTAGAAGTGTAAGCAGAATCAAATAATTTAGGAAGTAAATGCAAGTCAAATTTATTTTTCACCATATCCTAGTAAATTAAATTTTTTTTAATGTATTGAAACTTTTTAGATTGTAGATGTCAAGAATTAACTCTCTTAACAGCTTAAGCTACTGGGAGGGTCCTGAGGAATAGTTTTATATTTCTAACACTCCTCTCAATTGCAAGGGCTCTTAGACTTGCAGCGTGGTCAAAGAGCTGGCCCGTTTCCCCTTGTCCTGAAATTCAACTTCATTGTAAAGAATGCAGTGGAAAACAAACTCTTGACCGCTTGGGATAAATGTAAAAGAATACGTTGTGTATTGATCTGTGTCAAGGAGTTACAATATATAGAGACCCTAATGGGCTTAAGTGTAAGGCCAAAACCTAATCCTAATACAGTCAGAATACAGTCAGACTATTTACGGATAAGACAGAATCCAATCATATCTAATCAAATCTAATCATATCATATCTAATATTCTAACACTCCCCCTCAAGCTGGTGCGTATATATTATGAGCACCAAGCTTGTTACAAATGTATTCAACCCGAGGACCTCTAAGAGCTTTAGTGAAAACATCTGCTAGTTGATTAGACGAGTTGACAAAAGCTGTCTTGATTTCTCCTGACTGAATCTTTTCCCGAATGAAGTGACAATCAATCTCTATATGTTTGGTCCTCTCATGAAAAACAGGATTAGAGGATATATGTAGCGCAGCTTGATTATCACAGATGAGTGTCATGGGTTGTTTCTGTTCACAAAGATGAAGCTCCTGAATCAACTGCTTTAACCAGATCAACTCACAGGTAGTATTTGCCATTGCACGATACTCAGCTTCTGCACTAGATCGGGAAACAACAGGTTGTTTCTTGCTTTTCCATGAGATTAAGTTTCCTCCGAAGAAGACACAATAACCAGAAGTAGAGCGTCTGTCCGAGGGTGATCCTGCCCAATCGGCATCTGAGTAACCACAAATTTCTGTATTTCCCTGATCCGAATACAACAAACCTTTTCCTGGTGCTCCTTTGATGTATCGGAGGATCCTCACAGCAGCATCCCAATGTGAATCACAAGGGGAATCAAGGAACTGACTGGCCGTACTGACAGCGAAAGAAATATCTGGCCTAGTCACAGTAAGATAATTGAGCTTCCCAATTAGCCTCCGATAACGTCCAGGATCAGATAACGGCTCCCCCTGTCCGGGTAATAACTTGACATTAGGATCCATAGGTGTATCAACTGGTTTACTCCCCAACATACCAGTTTCTTCTAGGATATCCAAGGCATATTTCCTTTGACAGATAGAAATGCCCTGTCTTGATTGCGCCACCTCAATTCCCAAGAAGTAACGCAGCTTCCCAAGGTCCTTTGTTTGAAATGTACTAAACAAATGCTGTTTTAACTGACGAATTCCGTCTTGATCACTTCCGGTAAGAATGATGTCGTCAACATAGACTAACAAATAGATACACTTATCAGGAGATGTAATCCTATAAAACACAGAATGATCAACTTTACTGCGGATTAAGCCAAACGCCTGAACAACAGAACTGAAACGACTGAACCATGCTCGAGGAGACTGCTTGAGACCATATAAGGATTTCCGAAGACGACACACCTTTCCAGACTCCCCCTGAGCAACAAAACCAGGTGGTTGCTCCATGTAAACTTCTTCTTGTAAATCACCATGAAGAAAGACATTTTTGATGTCAAGTTGAAGGAGTGGCCAGTGACGAACAGCAGCAAGGGCAAGAAAGAGGCGGACTGACGCCATCTTAGCGACCGGAGAAAATGTATCGCTATAATCAAGGCCAAAGATTTGAGTAAAACCCTTGGCAACTAAACGTGCCTTGAGACGATCAATATGGCCATCAGGTCCAACTTTCACAGTAAAAACCCAGCGACAACCAACTATAGACTTCTCTGGAGGAGCAGAAACAAGGTCCTAAGTGCCATTGGAATGAAGTGCAGTCATCTCATCAAGCATTGCTTGGCGCCACCCTGGATGGGAAAGTGCTTCACCTGTGGTCTTAGGAATAGAAATAGAAGAAAGACTAGAAACAAAGGTGAAATGAGGTGAAGAAAGACGGTCATAACTCAAAAAGGTATAAAGAGGATAAGGGTTACGAGTAGTACGTGTACCTTTTCTTTGAGCAATGGGAAGAGTCTCTGATGAAGGATCCGGAGGGGAAGAAGCAACAGCAGTGGGCGATGAGTCAGCAAGAGTCGAGTCGACAGGAGGCACAGTTTTGCGACGCTGATAGGTGAGAAGTGGACGGTCCTCAGGTATAGAAGCAATAGGTTGCTCATCTGGAATAGAAGCACCTGCAGCTGGCAAAGACAAGTCAAGAAAAGGGACAGGAAGTACATGATCAACCTGTGACATCTGAGATGAGATAGAATTAAAGGGTTGTTGATCAAGAAAAGTGACATCAGCGGAAACTAAGTAACGCTTAAGGTCGGGAGAATAACAACGATAACCCTTTTGAAGACGAGAATAACCAAGAAAGATACACTGAAAGGCTTTGGATGTTAACTTATCCTTACCAGGAGTGAGATCATGAACAAAACAAGTACAACCAAAGACATGTGGAGTTAGAGGATAAAGAGGAACATCTGGAAGCAATAGATTATGAGGAATGTCATTGTGGAGCACAGATGAAGGCATGCGATTGATGAGAAAACAAGAGATGAGTACAGCATCTGCCCAGAAGTGAAGAGGAACCTGCATATGAATAAGAAGGGTACGGGCAGTTTCAATGAGATGTCTGTTTTTACGTTCAGCCACCCCATTTTGTTGTGGAGTGTGAGGACAAGTAGTTTGATGTAAAGTACCTTGTGTGGCCAAGAATTTAGAAAAATCAATAGAAACATATTCCTTAGCATTATCACTACGTAGAATACGAATAGAAACACCAAATTGAGTATGGATCTCAGTAGAAAACTTTTTATAAATGGAAAATAACTCAGAACGATTTTTCATTAAATAGGTCCAAGTGCAACGGGAAAAATCATCAATAAAGGTAACGAAATACCGAAAACCTAAGACAGACAAGGTACGACTTGGACCCCAGATATCTGAATGAACAAGAGAGAAAGGGGCATCAGCTCGTTTATTGACTCGACTGGCAAAAGAGGAGCGTGTATGCTTCCCTTGTTGACATGACACACAATCTAAAGACTGAAGACCGGACAAAAGAGGAACCATTTTCTGCAACTTTGAAAGACTTGGATGACCAAGGCGACTGTGGATAAGTTGTGGAGATTCTGTGAGAGAGCATGCTACTGAAGGACGAGGCACATCCAGATAATAAAGCCCCCGTGACTCACGACCCACTCCAATCATTTTCCCCGTACCCGGATCCTGCACAGAAACAGAATGGTTAGAGAAAGTAATGGTGCAAGTGAGGGAGTGGATCAACTTACTAATAGAAATTAAGTTATAAGGGATGCCGGGAATGTAATAGACAGATGTCAGGGCCAAGGTAGAGGTCGGACGAGCTTGTCCAATCCCACAAACTGGGGCTTTGGTTCCATCCGCAAGGGTAAAATACGGTAAATGATCAGAATAAGTAAGAGATGTAAAGAGTTCCTTATTACCACAGAGATGATCGGTAGCACCGGAGTCAAATATCCAAGTGCCAAGTGATGTAGAATGAGAAACACAAGCAACGGGATTACCAGTATAAGGCTGAGACTGAGGAGAAGCCTTCCTGAGAGGGGTTTGGAGTGCAGCACAGTCCGAACCTGAACCAAATGATGCTTTGTCTGACTGAGCTATATTTGCAACAATAGAAGGAGAGTTAACCTCCGAGAGATCAGGAGATGCTGCTGCCATTTAAAGATAAAATATAAAAGCCGTAAACGAAGGCAAACAATATCCAATCAAGAAGAACCACGCGTCTAAGGTCAGACCCACAGAGAAACAATCACAGATCCAGAAAGGGGAGGAGAAGGCGAGCTTCTCTGTCCAAGACCGGCCGGAAAAAGTCGCCGGAATAGTGCTCACGCGCCGGCAGAAGGTGGCGCGTGAAGCCCACGCGCAGTGAAGACAGGTGGCGCGTGACGGCGCGTGGGAGATGCGTTGCTGACCGGACCACCACAGACCTGGTCCCCGGGAAGAAAGAGTCCTGATCGCGTGAAGTTTGGTCGGAAAAGTCGCCGGAAAAAGTCTCCGGTTGCCTGAACAGTGATTCTGACGGCGGGCGGTGGTTCCGGTGGCCGTCGGAGGTGCTGACGCGTTTGGAAAAATCACTCAGAGGCTGTTTACAGCCCTAGAAGACTTGCCGAAAGGACGCACAGCAAGAAAGATGACTCCTAAGCAGTGGGCTTAGGTTTTTAAAGCAAAAAACAAGGTTTCTGAGCGGAAGCGAGGGTTCCTAGAACGAAAAAGCTCTGATACCAAGATAAATGTAAAAGAATACGTTGTGTATTGATCTGTGTCAAGGAGTTACAATATATAGAGACCCTAATGGGCTTAAGTGTAAGGCCAAAACCTAATCCAAACCTAATCCTAATACAGTCAGAATACAGTCAGACTATTTACGGATAAGACAGAATCCAATCATATCTAATCAAATCTAATCATATCATATCTAATATTCTAACAGTTATAAAGGCTCTAATACCACCATGCTAGGATCCAACACTATAAAAGGCTTAAGCTATTATTTTTTTGATGTCTTAGAAATCTTGATCAGATATAAAACTTTATAAGAGCATTGCATTGGCTGTTTGATGAAATTGCTTATTGATTGAAAAATGAATATTGTTAATGAGACTTTCACTTTTCCAGTCTTTATCCATTGACGTAAAATATATAATTTAGAAGCATTCTCATGTTCTTTTTATTTGTATACTGTCCTACTTTAAAGCACATCATATTACCCATTCTTAATATTATGAATCCTGCATTATCTATCACATTGTAGGGGACGTGTAAGATGGGATGAGGATAACATTGGAGAAATTGAGGCAAACAAACCCGTGAGGCAGAAAATTACTGAGCCCAAGACTCCATATCATCCAATGATTGACGATGACGGTATGTGAAGATGATCACTTAAACTTCCATGTTTCCTATAATTAAGTATGCTATGCACATGTGTATATGGCTATTTATACAAATGATAGCCTGATTTTGTTCGAACAGGGAAAAAAAGAGGTATTTTACCACGTATAAGTTATAACTATATTGCTTTTCTTCTTCATGTAGTGACCATTAAACCCCGACTAGCGAGGGTGGGGTGAGAAAAATCCTTGTACGCAGCCCTACTCTTGCATAATTGCAAAGTGACTGTTTCCTGAATTCAAATCCATGACCTTTCAGCCACTAAGAACAACTTTAGCACAACTCTAGGCTTGCCCTCTTGTAGTAGGCATTTGATACTTTTCAAAAATTTCATTTCATAGTTAAACTCTAAAATTTAGTTAGGCATCGACATGGTTTGGTTTCTAAATGTAAAAGCATATGTTAATATAACTCTGTTGATGGAGTTGAGTGGAGATGTAAATTTTAATTTTTATTCTCAGGTCTGTTCTTTTGCTATAGTTTAAAATACATTGTATGTGCAGCAATTTTTCTTCTGACATAACCTAATTTTGTAGGTTCTCTATCCCCTGTACGAGGAAGTTTTGATGCATGCATTGGTGATGAAAATCCATCCATGCATGCTGAAGCAATATGGACTGCACTGAATGACGTAGCTTCTAGTAGCAGAAGAGACTCTGTACAATCTGGTGGTTGGACAACATCTGAGGATGAGCTAGAAGCAATGGAGCAAGATGATGACGGTATTTAACTATTATTTGATTCTCATGTGGGGTTTTTCACAAAGATTTTAATAACGATCATTACTCTTAATGGCTGCTTGTGCTTCTCCTTCATGAGAATTTTTGTTTTAATGATTCCTGATCCAAATAATTGAAATCTTTGAATATTCTACAATAGTACCTTAAGATTGGTTTTAGTTGATTTTAACATATAAGGATTATAAGTTGGAGAAGCCAGGCTATTTACTTTTGATCTGACATGTAATTTGGGATTCCTGCATAGATAGTAATGGAATCAACAGTTTTGACAGACATGGTACAAAAAACTGTAATGGATTTGATTGACGCAGCACATGTTTTCAGTTTTTGTTATTTTTAGTATAAAAAACATGAAGTCATGATAGTGGCTAGTTACTGATGTTAAATTTCCAAATATTTCTAAACCAAGAATTAGGGTGGTGCCAAATAACCATATAAACCTATTTGAACCCATCAAAAGAATCACATTTTTCCAAACTAGATCGTGAACCGAACTATTCTCTTCGAACCGGTTCAAGTACTGAACCCTTTTTCAAAACCAGTTTGATTCTCTGAATTGAACCACTTTACTGGCTCAGTTCGGTTCTGGATAGAAAACCAAACCAAACCAAACTATACCCACTCCTAGGTTTGTGAAATTTTTTATGTAAACCAGACTTTCAATAATCGAACCATTTTTCAAAACCGGTTGGGTTCGCCCAAACCAAACCGAACTGTGTCTATCCATACCAAGAATTATTGTTTATGAACATAATAGTTATAAAAAATGGGTTAACTGAATATTGTTACGAAAGACAATATTTAGAAATGTTTGTATACAAATGAGTCAGTTCTGTCTCGGAATAATTTGGGACACAACATGAAAGCAGTCCTTATTTTTATGCCTATAGTCACACTGCTGGATCTGAAAGGCCTTCCTTTTTTTTTTTTTTTCCACATTGGTGGCCAATACCCAATTGATTTATACAGCTCAGAATTTTATGTTGAGTGTACTAGTGTTGTGTGGACCTGGGAAAATTGTCAAACTTGGAGACTGCTGCTGTAATATCTAATCTTATACTGTTTTAAATTTAAGTAAACTGTGTGATGATGAGTCGGGATCTATTTGATAAGTAAACTTTTTTTGCCATTTCATGTCATGCTTGTTTATGGGGATATCATAATTGAGTCTGGATTAATTTAGTGAGTTTATTTGCTTTTGTATTGATAGATTACTTATTCTTTTACTAACCTAACCTGAATTTTCCTGGGTTGGAAATTCTTTTAGATTCGGAATCCGATAGGAGCTTAAGATTTAAAGAGCACAGGAAGGCCCACTATGATGAATTTCTTAAAGTAAAGGAGCTGCGACGGCAGGGTTCTCTTGCTGAGGATGAAAATGATGAGGATAATAATTCTGAACTTAGCAAGGGGGAGGAGAAATGTGAGTCATCTTCACTGAGTGATAGTGTAAAAGAGATGGACATTGAGGGGAAAAAGTCTTCCACGCCTCCAGCTAATGGTTCTTAGACAGTGATCAACAAATAAAACCCACTGTAATTTCACAATCTTATATATATATTGTGGGTTGGAAAAAACTAAATGATTCACTGTATTAATCATGTATCATTTGTGTGTAAATAGTTTTTCTTACTCCACCAAATCTCCCTATGTAAACTTGCATGATCCGTTCTGGCAAATAGGATCTATATTGCATTTGCTATCTCCTCATGATTATTAGATTTGTGTGGGAGATTTATACCCAAAATTTAAAATCTATCGGATTCAGATCAATTAAGTTACGATAGCCAAATTGATTTGTGAGATGTCAATGACACTGGCTGTTACATTTCTTCTCCCTACAGCAAGTATGATGGAGGAATGGGTTGACTTGGATTACATTTACACCTTTTAGATTTGAGTTTTGTAGGATTAATTTTGATATCTTATTTTTATTTAGTGTTTGGTTTATCGAGGACATCTTTAATATTTTATAAAATAAGAATATTTTTAACATTAAGTGATATATATTGTTACTGTAATGGATTTGAGGGATAAATTTAAAACTACCAGAGTCTATAAAAGTGATATGCACGATTAGAGACTAAAATAAAATTATTGTATTCTCATAATTAATGCGTTTGTTATAAAATTTGTTACGTACAGATTTAGAGGTTTCATCATAAATTACGTATGAGACATTTGTGTAGTCCCATGATTTGTGCATGTTCGCCGGGGGGTCATATTCACAGTATTTACGCTTCATTTTGCAATGGTTCCCACGTTTATTGAACCCCCCCCCCCCCCCCCCCCCCCCCTCCTCTTGCAGTGTTAAAGAGAAAGAGCTTTTTTAGAAAACGACAGAAAGAAGAAAGAGAGAGAAGGAAGCAATAACAGATACAAAAATATGAAGGTCTAAAAGCTAGTGAAGGAAATGGAAATTGGAGAAATCTGCATAGTGTAAAGAGAAGCCATTGGTAAGTAACACAGCTGAGTTTCCAATTCCATATTCATGCTCATAAATGAGATTTGAATTGTCACAAATTGGTTTTCATAAAAGCTTAAGTTATATGATTTTGGGGAATATTATATTTACTACCATTTTAGCATTATCACTTTTACTACTTATTTGATTACCATTGAATCAATTTGAAATTACTGACAGTTAATTTTTTTTTTTTTTCAATCGTTGATTTCAATTGGATCCAACAGTAACTAAATATGTAGTAACAGTAGTAAAGCTAAAATAGTAGTAAATATAATCGCCCCAATAATTTTATGATTTAATATATAAGCGTGAACAATTCATAACTCTCTCCAGTTTAATGTTAGTAGAAAGCACATAAATAATAATTATTATATCTCTAACATGTTTATAATATAAATATGTAACATAAATTTTTGTTGTTTTTTGTTTTTTAAAACACATCAGTCTTATTTATGTGTACATTGTTGATATTATAGGTCATTTCTTAGTGATCCTAATGGTTTGAGGTTGTCATGTCATGTGCCATGTTAAGGGCTTGTGATACTTTGGATTAGTTTTCTCATATACTTTCTTCTTCTTGTTTTGTAGTTTTTGTAATTAAGGAAAGATGGTTTTGAATTGCACAGTTTTCACATTGCTACATTCTCCACATACAAAATAGCTGGTTTGAATTGCACAGCGATATACACGATTACTACAAGAGGTAAAAGAGAAATTCTTCATTTATCGTTTAGACGAGTGATTTAGGAACACATATGAAGAATTAAAAAAAAGTTCGAACGAAAATGAAGATGTTATTACGGATGAAAATTATAATAACGTAAAAGGATAAAAATTGAAAATTTTCCTCTACTAAATTTTGTGCATAATTGTCTTTTGGATTTTTTTTAAAAATAAATCTATCATTAAGGGTAATTTTACCTACGATTAATTTAAATATTTAAAAAATAATGTGATAAATCGAGTTATATTAGAATATATATATATATATATATATATATATATATATATATATATATATAATGTATTAGGCATGACTAACATATACCTGTGTAAAAATAATAAATCTTACATTAAATCTTAATTATTAATTTCTGTGTATATGATGGTTGTAATTTATTGTAAATTAATAATTAATTAATTAATGTAATCTAATAAATTATAATCATCATATACACAAAAATTAATGATTAAGATTTAATATAAAATTATTATTTTTATACCTATATAAATTGATGATATTTCTATATCTATATATAACCACATAATAAGTCAGCATTAGTAGCACAGCTCTACACAACCGGATCAATTCCATGATTCAGCATCACTAAGAGGGTGTTTGGATGAGTTATTTTTTTAAAAGGAAGCTGTTTTTTTTTTTTTTTTTTCAAAAAGAGAGAGTCATTTTTAGCCATTTCATATTTTTGGATAGCAACTTTTAAAATTGAGCATAAATAGAAAAAGAAGTTAAAATAATGCTTTTTTTAGAAGTTAGGATTCCTTGCTTAAGAAAAAAGTATAAGCTAAAAGTCAAATAATTTTTTGAAACTTCAATTTTATCCTAATCTCACTCTAATTACTCTATCCCACTACCACCACTACTGTCACATATCCTTTTTAGTAATTTTATATACAAAAAGTGCTTAATATTTTTAACTTCCAAATAACTTTTTTATTTGTTATGTACTCCATCCAAACATAAAATAGCTTTATTTTTTTAAATAAGCCATTCTAAAAAAAGAAAGTAATAAAAAGTGCTTTTTTAAAAATCCATCCAAATAGCTCTAATACTAACGTGATGTAGCCAATAGATGATATATGAGACTATCATAAATAAAATAAAGTTATCTGCTATATCTCAAAATGATATCATTTCGAGAGTTTGGAAAAAAAATAAAGAATATTTTAGTAAAATTACCTAATACAAAAGGAAAGTAAAATTATTAAAATATTCTATATTTTTTTCTCAAACCTCGAAAACGTCGTTTAGGGGTCGCTAAGGAAATTTTATTTCATACTACTAGAGAAATATTTTTCCTATAAAATAAAGAATTAAATTTATATTACGTTAAAAATTTTAGCAATAAGTGCATTTCTTTTTGAGAACATAATTTTTTTTTCAAGAATTATAAAAATGTCCATTTTAATCTTTAATTTGGACACCAAATATCTTATTCTTAAGGTAAAACTAATATCACCACCAGAGACTAAAATAAAATTATTGTATTCTCATAACTAATGCGTTTGTTATAAAATTTGTTACGTACAAATTTAGAGGTCTCATCACAAATTACGTATGAGACATTTGTGTAGTCCCATGATTTGTGCTGCATGTTCGCCGAGGATCACTTTCACATGGTATCATTTTAAATGTTCCTCTCTTCTCTCTCGTTATTTAACATGGTATCAAGAGCCTAACGAACGTTTGGATTTTTATTTTCCAATGAACCCATTGTTCATCGTATTTTACAAAAAAAATTTCCCAGAACTGTCTCGTTGTCAGTTTTCGAACGATTTTCTTCCACTTCACGCTCCTGTACCGTCAACCACCACCGTCCAGTGGAATTTTCAGGCACGCAGCCTACCGCCGTGATCGTCTTGACAACGCGGTCACACCGGCACCGGCCGCTCCCTCAGAAGACCACCCACGCGCTCTCATGCGCGCGTGCAAGTTTCAGCACCCTCCTCCAACCGGCGGCGCGTGGAGCCTCTGTTCCGGCCGCGACTGGTTGCGATTTTTTTCGTCTTGCTGAGACGATTCTGGATCAGGTCTTGTTTTTCTGTTTCGACATCTTTTTCGTTGTCGCATAGATCCCTCTTCTACCGGTTAGTTCTGTGATCTGTTCTTTCTGATTTCTTTTTGATTATGGACCCTCCTGTCTCCAATGTTCCTGGTTCTGGGACTCCGGTTGGACAAAAGTCGGAGTGTACTATTTTTTCCAATTATATTCTTGCTCCGTTGAGTGTGGATAAATTGGATGGGTCCAACTATGACACTTGGTCTTCCGATCTGCGACTTTGGTTGGATGAGCAGAATTATACATCCCATCTCACCACTAAGGCTGAATCTGTGGCAGAAAAAGAGCGCACACGGTGGAAGATGATTGATGCTCAGTTGTGTAGTCTCATTAAAGCTACTCTTCATCCGTCTATCAAGCAGATTTTTTGACCTGCTGTTACTTGTGAAGTTATTTGGAGTCAGGGAAAAGCACTGTACACCAATGATACCCAGAGACTCTATGGTGTGTGTCAGAAATTGATGACTACCTTTGCTCCTCGGGACTTCAATTGTCCTATGACTGAATATTTAGGAAAAGCTCAGAGTCTACTTCATGATCTTAATGAACTTCTGCCTCTCACTGGTGATGTTACTAAGGAACAGGAATAGCGTAATACACTGTTTATGCAGTTCATTTTATTTGGTTTGCCTGACCATTTGTCTGCCAATCGGGATCAAATTTTGGGATCTGCTACAGTCCCTACACTGGATTCCGTGATGTCTACCTTGCTTAGAATTCCCTCTAAGCCCTCTACATCATCAGCACCTCCTATGATGCCTATAACCCCGTGGATTCTGTTGACTCTTCCGCTCTTGCTACTCAAGGGTATGATCGTGGACGTAGAAAAGATTCTGTTGACTTTTCTGCTCTTGCTTCTCAAGGGTATGGACGTGGACGTCGATTCTCTAATGGAAAGCTGTTATGCACTCATTGTCATCTGGCCAATCATACTGTTGACCGCTGGAAGCTTCATGGAAGACCACCTCCACCTTCTCGGAATGCTCATGTTGCTCAGGCTTTCTCTAGTACCTCTGCTCCAGAGTTTCCTTCCAGTGCACAACCTCCAACTGCTCTTCTGAACGAATTTGTGACTTGGTGGTCTGAGAAGCAAACATCAGGTCCTACTGCATCCATTTCTCCCACTGGTAATTCTGGTAATTCTTTTGCTGGAATATCTCAGTTGCACTCTATTGGCCCTTGGACTCTAGATTCTGGGGCTTCTGATCACATTTCTGGTAATAAGTCCTTATTCACTTCCCTTTGTACTACTGGTTCTTTTCCCACTATTACTATGGCCAATGGGTCTCTGGTCCAATCAAGGGGGATTGGTACGGTTCTTTTTTTACCTAATTTATCTCTGGATCATGTTCTATATGTTCCTGATTCTCCTTTTAACTTACTTTCTGTTAGTCGGTTGACCAATCCATTGACTATGTTGTTTCTTTTACTAAAACCTCTGTCATTTTTCAGGATCGGAGTTCGGGGAAGGAGATTACCAAAGGATGTGAGTCTCAGGGCCTTTATCAACTAGTTCCCTCTTCTTCAGCCTGCTCCATTGTGGATTCTCCTCTTACTATCCATGCTCGTCTGGACCATCCTAGTCTTGCAAA